TGTTATAAAGTTCTCCCAGAAATAGCAAATTTGGAAAAAGAACAAGCTGTAATTCGAATGTAGCTCACTGTTCATATGCATAGAAGAAAAATGAACAGAAAAAAGGAGAAGAAAACGCCGTTTTGTGACTTGATGCTGTAATTACATATAGTATAGGCAAAATGTGTCCTAAAGGCTTCAGATGCTGCCGAGAATTTGATGTCTGATTATCTTTGATGAAAGCAGAAATAAGCTGTCGGTTGGGGGCTACGACTTTACTCGCTGTACTGATTAAAGGATGTACTATTTCAAGAAGGCCTTATATCAGGTTCAATGAGTGTAAAACCGATGGGTGATCGAAAGATAATGCAGAGAAGTGCATCTTTGATTTGCAATCTTTGGTGACACTTTTTTGGTATGTAAAATGATCTTTCAATTCATTAGATTAAGTTCAAAACTACAAAACCTTTTTCCACACAAGATCTTCCTTTTTTCTTTCATGTTTTCATTTTCTATTTGGATTTTATATATTCATTAAATTTATTACTTTACAAAATAAATACATGTATTTGTGCAAGTACCACATTTTATATGGGTTTATTTGGATTTTTATTCATTATATTTATAATTAGTTTGTCTTGTTTTTCTGTTCAAAGAATTTAATCAAATGTTTATTCCCAACAATAATAATTGAAGAAAAAAATCTAATTTAAGTCAACGAATTAGTTTAACTAGTTATTTAATTTTATTTATTTTAATAAATCTCACTAAACCCTTGCACCAAATTAAGCTCCGGATTATACCACATTAATCCCGCATTTACTTCAAAGGATAGCAGCCAAGTTTAATTCCGTCGGCCCAGTATTAAATGTCCCCTTATCCTGCTTTAATGGGACAACTCAATCCCACTTTTTTGGTGGGATAGCCACAATCCTTTTCAGTTGGACTAAATTAGTCCAATCCTATCCTGAAAAGCAAACAAGGGGGTGTCTTGAAAGTTTAAAAACCGAACCAAAGAAGGGAAAGATGTATTTACACGACCAAATCCAAAAAAAAACTGTGAATAAAAGCAACAAGATTACAGTGAAAACTACCTATAAATTGCAAGACAAAACTAGAAAAGAACAGAAAACAGGAGTGCAAATCAGGTGTAGAACACTTGGCAAATTTCACATCTTTTGCTTGAAAAGTTATCCAAAGCCAAATCCAGACATCCAAACAGCAAAGGCTTTTGTAACAAGACGCAATCCATCTGACTTGATTAGTTAGGCGGAGGAGCTCGGTAGTAAGCAGGGACAGTTGCCGGAAAGAACATCTGCCTGACTCCTTCGGCCTTGATGATAGGGAAAATTATTCCCGATGCACTCTAGTTAGAGCTCAACAAGATTAGACTTTAGGGAATGAAAATTTTCATTTTGGTAACTAAAACAATTATTAATGAGGATGAAAATACATTTTCTAACTCACCGATACTAATCTAGCTCCAATCCACATTCGTTTGGGCGAGGGGAAGGGCAACAATAGACGGCCCACACCGTATATTGCGACTGCAAAGAAATGGCAAACCAAGCTCAGCGGGCGAGGGTTCAAGCCCGAAAGCAACGAGACAGGCCCGTTTGAGAACACACCCCCGAGGCTCAGATAGTCGAAGCATGCCTGGCGCATCTCGTTTTGTGCTTGATCAGGTGAGGCACTGAACACCTTGTACAGGGCACCGGCCAGTGTGTTGATTGTGGATGCCACAGGCTACAAAGGGATTTTAAGTGAGACAATAATTGTTTTAAATTCTGTTTAAAAAAATGAATACGCAAACTGGAAAAATGTTTCATAAGAAAAAATCCATTGAGTCGGTTTGGATATAGCGAACACTTCAGATTCTTATTGGGGAATACAAATCTATGTATTATATGCAGCCATCTGAAAGTATGATTGAAATCGTTCTTCGAGTACTCTACTAAACCCAAATTATTCATCCAACTGCAATCATATAGTTCAAATAACGCTCTTTTCCCAAATTGTAATATACTCAGACCCCAAATGATAATAATTCTTCCTTCACATACTTAACCAGAAGTTGCCAGCAAAATTATATTTTGACAAGTACAAATTATATTTTCGATGAGATTCCTGTAATGCCGTAAGGATTTATTTGCAAGTTTAAAATATAGCTCATTTACATAAGCATGCTAAATTATGGATCAATTTATGCAAGTATCCTTCTTATGATATGAAATTAGTATTCGAAATAACTGACCTTCCGCAGTGTATAGAAACATTCAAGATATTTGCAGAGTGATGGGGCATCATGCAAGTCATGCAGAGGCTTAAGGAGATTACGCAAGACGACTATATCAGATAACGCCACAGTCATCCCACCTCCAGTCAATGGGTGGCGCATGTTAAATGCATCCCCCATAAGCAAAGCACCTGGAGTCGGATGAGGAGCTGCCGGCATGCTTCTGTTTGGCATACTCCTAATATTTCTTTTTTCAATAGCTGCTACAAACGCATCTTGCAGTTCAACTGGGATCTAAACAGAATCGAATTTCCAGATATTAGTCAATCGAGCACTCAGAGAGGAGTTTATTTACAGGAAAAAAAATAAAAGCACCATTGAATTCTAGATATGTGTTACATTTTTCGCAAATAATAGAATTTGCCAACTTCGCCTAACATTTTTCACTACAAACCTCAACTTCTGAAAACAGTAATAATAATAAAAATCTCATGTCTAGGTATTTGAACTATGGTACAAAATTGAGACAAAAGAACATTTTTATCGTCAGGTGCAAAAGACGAATCTGAACCACAAGGATGGTTTTGTGATTGCCAAAGCTAGAAGGGTCTTTTGGTAACTAGGTCAAACACCAGGGAAGGTTACTGTATTATTCTGTATAGTCGATACGATAGGTATGATTAATTAGCTGTTGTAACAGATTTAGAACGACTAAAGGTTTTGTGATTAATTTAGATTTACCTGTGGAGCAACCACAGTCTTCAAATATTTGTCCATTTCACCATTTGATATAGAAGGCACCTTCTGACCAGGAACATCGACCAGGCAGCGGACCTCATTGCTGCTTATAGGGTAAAACAGGATAGGAGAAGGATCAGCCAAGATCACATGTCCGTGGTTTGAAAAAGGGAGTTGGCAATTCTCGAGGACCAAACCAACAAAGCAAGACGGAATATCCACCTGTGGATCAGAATACAAAGCATGTTAATACAGCAAAAAACATCAAATGAAGCTTTCCTAATTAAAAAAAAATAAAAAATTGAACATCAACAAATTTATCTGATGCCAGAAGAATACCTTTGGATCACACAGTGAGCGTCGCAAGTTAGAAAAACATCCATCGCATACTATGGTCAAAGGCGCGTAAGCTTTCAACTCCTCACCAGATTTTGTCTTATACTGTACCCCTCTAACAGTCCCATTTTCCTCCAGCAATGATGTCACGGTTCCTTGCTCCAGTCGGACGCTGCAAGCCGAAGAGGGATAAATGGATGAATATTTGTTAAACAATGAGCAACACATAGTAATGTACGCACACACAAACACACATATACGGTTCCATATGTTTGTGTGTGTGTGTCCATATACATATCGTGCTGAGACAGTTTGTCACAACTGGCTATGACTGTCTGCAAAGGCCCAATTTGAATTCCTTTACGATACAAAGCAGATGACTTATACCACATCAATCAACGTATTACTTATTAAGATTACAGACCATCTCTCTCTCTCTCTCTCTCTAAGAGATTAAGAAGAGAATAAAGAGATAGAGCAGAAGCAGCATACTTTGGAAGAGAAGCGGCTTTCTCACGCAGTCTTTGTACAAAGCGTCCATTATGGAAGCTCCTGCCAGATACATCAGCGTGGAATTTTTCTAAAGGATAAGAAAGACGAGTGGCTTTTCCATCCTTGAATAGGGCATATCCAAACACCCTCTGAGCATCAATTTCTTCCACGCAATCTGAAACAGATATCGATTTCATTAACTTCCTGTCAAATACAATCTCCAGAAAGAAACTGAGTATGCTATTGAGAGTTGAAATAGTGAATGCATAGCTAGTAAAGAACAGAAAGCATAGTTTTACCTTGAAGTCCCAACTCAAGTAGTTTTAGGTAACCACCTGGTTGTAAAAGTTCTCCAACAATCCTGTCAGGCTCCGTCAAATCTCTTTCAATCACACAGACACGTCTCCCGTCCTGCAAATCAAATCACAATGCCAATCTAACATAAGATTGGAACATGAAATATCAAGCAGAAAAAACTATAATGAGAAACAAAGGAAATGGACAATGGACAAAACTTTATAATGTTGCCAATGCAGTTTCTCAACATTATATACATTGTTTGGGACAATATATCAGGCAAAATGTCTACAACAACAACAACAACAAAGCCTTTTAGTCCCAAACAAGTTGGGTTAGGCTAGAGATGAAACCCAATAGATTGTGTTTCATCTCCATAGGCTAGGTTTTACGTTGGCTCGCCAAGCCTATCACAACCCTCATCCTTTACCGGGGCTTGGGACCTGTTACGTTGAGACAACATAGGCGGAGTTATCAGGCAAAATGTCTAAAATGACAAAATACTGCTAACAAATCTCTTCAAGATTTTGAAAATATATTTCATCCTCATAAACACCATTATATGTCTTTGCTTTCTTGATTCTTGGCTGCCTAGATTTGTCTCCTAATTTGTTCTCAAATCGTTATACATACACTACAGCAAACACATCAAAGCATTTTTCGAAAGAAATACGAAAAGGAAGACAAATCCGTCAATAACCGAAAAAAAAAAAAAATCGCAAAAACAAATTCAAGCCCAGAAAATAAAGTACCTTCCCCAGAGTGTGAGCCAAGGCTGCGCCGGCAACTCCGGCACCGACTATGATGATGTCATCGCCACCGTCCTTAGATTCGCATTCTCCTTCAGAAATGGCGGTCGTGTTGGTGGTGGCCGAGGCAGCAACATTCTTTTCCTTTTTCCTCGACAATCCATAACGACAGAAAATGAGAAACCCGAGAAAGGCTGCTAAGACGGAGCTTAGAAGGCTGAGATCCATTTATTAACAACTATTTATTATTTTCCGGCAATGCAGGTAGCCTCCTAAGATTAAGCTGTCTGCCGCCGGCGGCAATACGGTGGCGAAGCTCTCTCTCTCTCTCTCTCTCTCTCTCTCTCTCTCTCTCTCTCTCTCTCTATGTGGGTGGAGAATATATCCCTCAAGGCCTGATCTTGAAAAAGCTTCGCTGGCTTGGTTTGGCGTATTCAAAGGTCACAAATATATTTTTGGAATTGAAAAGGAGAGCAGAAGAGAGGACGGAACGAGACAAACCTCTTTGAAGGGAAGGGCCCAACCACACAATACAAAAATGTCAGTCACCAACAAACAACTAAAAAGGGAAAATATTTAGTGAAAATTAGGGGTGAAGCGTGAGTCAGTACGGTTCAGAGATTGATAAATTTTTAGAACCAGACCAAAGTTCGGAGATCCCAAAATTCGATCTCCGGAACCGTACCAAAAAGTAGGTTCGGTCTGGTTCGGAGATTTTTATTTTTCGGTTCGGTTCGGTTCGGTATTCGAGACTATTGGGACGATACGGTTCGGTATAGTTCGGTTCGAATCTTCGGAGATTTCTTATTTGTTTAGATTTTTTTAATGACTACCTAGTTATATTTTAATTTTTAAATACTTTAAAAATACAACATTTATCAATAATTCGTCATATTGAAGATTTTATTTTGAAATCAATTTTAGAAGTAACTCTAAATTTTAGTTATTTAATTTTTATGCTTTAATAAAACCAACATTAATCAATACTTCCTCATATTAAAAAATTTATTTTGAAATCAACTTTAGAAGTAACTCTAAATTTTAGTTAAGACTAAATTTGTGCAAGTAATATTAAAAATTTAAAATTCAAACAAAATATAATATTTTTTCTAAAAAAATATTCTTTAACCTTTCATATTATTTTAAATAATTATTTTATAATAGAAAAAATTCAATTGTAGATCAAGTATTACTAAACATGAAAATTAAGTGAAGGTTAATAGTTATTATTATTATATTATAAAGGATCAAAGTGACATAAAATATATTAATAACACATCTAATGTTATAATTCGGTTCTTAATTTTGGTTCATCGGTTCGGTAAGGTATGAGACGATTCGGTTCGGTTCTCGGTACGGATATTTGTGAAATCTCCAGAACCGTACCAATTATTTTTTCGGTTCGGTTCGGTTCGGAGAAAGTCAAACAGTCAACGATTATTTTTCGGTTCGGAGTGATTTCGGTTCAGTTTTCGGAATGGTTCGGAATTCTCCGAGTCCCATGCTCAGCCCTAGTGAAAATATATTTTCACCCCCGTTGAAGTCTTGTTAAGTTTTTCACACCGCCTAATAAAAAACTAAGTTTTTCACCCCGGAAAGTGTGAAGGTTATGCGAAAACTGTCGCATATTCATCGCATAACTGTCCATATGCGAAGGTTATGCGAAAAACTGTCGCATAACTGTCGCATATCAATTGCATAATTGTGTGAAGGTTATGCGAAAATTGTCTCATATTCATCGCATAACTGTCCATATGCGAAGGTTATGCGATAAACTGTCGCATAACTGCATATCAATTGCATAACTGTGCGAAGGCATTGTGCGATGAATATGCGACAATTATGCAATTGATATGCGACAGTTTTTCGCATAACCTTCGCATACGGACAGTTATACGATGAATATGCGACAATTTTCGCATAACCTTCGCACTTTTTGGGGTGAAAAACTTACCTTTTTATTGAGCGGTGTGAAAAGCTTAATTTGTCTTTATTATGGGGTGAAATAAATTTTTTCCCAAATATTTATATCCCCTATATATTAATTCAGACGCGCTGAGCCTAAGTGACATACTCGCATGCTTCTGCATTCTATGTTGCTTTAGGCTTGGATAGATTTTAATTTACTTTGAAAACAAAAATAATTAGGTACGGATTATCCATCAATATCTTGATTGTTTATGGTCATGTTACATGTATAAAAATTGATTTTAATATCATTTCTTATTATAACCATTGAATTGTAAACGTACTTTAAAAGTTAATAATATTTGTATTTTTTATCAGTTTTACATATATAATGTAACAAATTAATCATCTCTTGATGAACTTAGATTTTTTTTTCTTCCGGTACGATGAGAGAAGGCTAAAGCCTTAGAAAGTTAAGCTAGCACACGATGCGGATAAGAAACTCCCGCAAGATCATGTTGAATCCATGCCCCCAAGCCAGGGGAGAGACGAAAGCCGGTGCAAAAATTAGCTTCTCTATGAACATGTTGGATCTTAATGGTCCATTCTCGATCGTACAGGCTACGAATGGCCCGAACCAGTGCTATATGGGTCCCAAACCTATCCATCGGGCCATATTCAGCTGCGTAACACATTGACTATCAACCTCAGCAATGACAAGGGGGAATCCCATGTATAAAAAAAATTACATTTATCTTTATAAAAATAATAAAGTTATTTTAATATTAATTAGAAAAATAAAATTATTTATCAATTAATATATTTATATTTCAAGTAGTTATTTGGTATAGGTTATAAAAAAATACTATAGTACAACACATGTAAGTCGCACAAATAATAAGTATTATTCTAAATTATATATAATATGTATTTTTTATAAAAAAAAGAAAATGAAATTTAAAATACTTTTTCTCATTAATTTTAAAATTTAAGAATATTTTTTTAACAAGTACCCGTGTAATTTACGGGTGTTGTACTAGTAACAATTAAACGCAAATTTGTGTTGTTAGGCCATCTCCAACCGAAAAACCAAAACTCAAACTCATTTTGCAGTAATTATCCCATTTTGCAGTAATTCATCTCCAACCGAAAAACTCATTCTCAAACCCAAAAGAATATTCACAGAATATTCTCTTTTACACCAACTTTTATAACTTTTCAATACTACCCACATATTTTACAACTTTACAAATTAAACCACACATTTTAAATTCAATTTGGACTTTATGTAATTAAAATTAATTATACATAATAAAATCGTAGAAATAAATATTCATTAAAAATTAAAATTTCACCACACAAATAAAATTAAAAATTACAATTCACAAGATGAAAAATAAAAAATTACAACACACAAGATAAAATAAAAAATTACAACGCACATGATAAAATTAGAAATTACAACGCACAAAATGAAAATTTGAATATTACAACAGACAAGATAAAATAGAAAATTACAACAATCATGTAAAAATAGATAGTCTTTCAAGTCAATTTGTATTAGTAATGTTGTTGTTTAATGTTAGTGTTTTTTTTCCTTATTAAATAAAAATATCATAAATTATATGTATATTTTCATTATTATTGTGAAATATATATAATCAAATTATAAACATAATATTTATTTTTTAAAAAATTTTACTATTTAATTTTTATGAAATCAAGATTTTTTAGTATTTTACATCATTATTGTGAAAAAATATAAAATTAATATGTATATTTACACCACTATTGTGAACAAATATAAAATAATATGTTATTCATTATTTTAATGAAATTAAAAAAAATATGTTATTCATTATTTTAATGAAATAAAAAAAAAATAGTATGTTTTTAATTATTTATCCAATTCATATTATCTTAGCATTCTAAATCAAATTAAAAATAAGTTGAATTTATTAATTTTTAAAATGATAAGGTCAATTATAAATAAGAAATAAAAATGAAGGATAAAATTGAAATAAAAAAAGATTGAACGCATCTTATGCGTTTGGACGCAAATTTGCGTCGAACAGAGGAGAGAGAAGATGGGCAACGCATTTTGCGATCGGATATGCAGTTCGGCTGGAGCGATTTTGCTGCAAAAAATGAGATTTGACATTCGGTTGGAGAAGGTCTTAGAGGATAGAAATTGATCTTATTCGCATTGTACGTTTGCTTTTCGGTGTTGGCTAAACAAATAAATAAATAAATGTCATTTTTGTTAGTATACATGCGGTTGGAGTTTTGTATTATATTAAAATCCAAGTTTTACTTTGTAATGATATTTTTATTATATTATTTTTAAAAATATACAATGAAAACATGCATATTTGATATTACTTGACTATTAGGCAAGCAAGAAAGCTATTCCACGCATCAAAATAAATAACAATGCTCACCTACCCACGATGGATACATGTTAATATGTTCACCGTTTATGTGACATGCAAACATTAATAATGTATTTTTTTGAACATATTAACATCACCAATGTGTGCATGCCACATAAACGGTGGGCATATTAACATGTGTCCACCGTGGGTAGGAGAGCATTACTCCCAAAATGAAATACAATAAAATACCTAGTTACAAAAGAATATGTATTTTGTGTGGGATTGTCTAATCATTAGACGGATCGATCATCATGTATTATAAATCAAAATACATACTTATATTATAAATGTGATTTTCTTTTCCTTTTTTTTGGGTGAATGTCAAAAGAAATGACTCACACTCAAAAGAAAAGCATGCGTAAGGCCTCGGGCTCGAGCTCGGCTCATTTAAAATGAACTCTATTAAAGTTCATTTAAAATGAACTCTATTAATGTATTTTCCTACTCATTTAAAATGAACTCTATTAAAGTTCTAGCATGCGTAAAGCATTATAGCAACTCATTTTGTTTATCCAGAAACTAGGGCTGTTAAGGCCTCGGGCTCGAGCTCGGCTCGTTAAGGCCTCGAGCTCGAGCCATAATGAGCCGATCTCGATTTTTAACGAGCCGGACTATAAAAATTTATATAAAAATTCTCTTTTCGAGTCTTATCGTGCCGTGTTGAGTTAGTCTCGTTGACTAAACGAGCTTTAAATGAGCTCGAGGTCGGCTCATTAATACCTTCCCATATCTGCTTTAGGTATTTGTACTCTGGCGAAGTAAAGGAGCATAAAAAAATACGGTTTTTCATGACTTTCAAATAGACAAACTCGAGGCGAACTCAAGCCTTAACAAGCCGAGCTCGAGCCGAGCCAAGTCAGGTTCGTTTAATTTAACAACACTAAT